TTTGATATAGGTACAAACATGTAGTGAAGCCTGAAATGGGAAGGGGGGGGGGGCTAAAACGGAATCTCTCTCTCTCATTTGTCTGTTTAATAAAAACTAAAACAGCATATTACTTGAATATCAAGTTCTGAAAATTGAATTTATAACAAATAATATGAATATGTATCTTTATATTATCTTGTCCGAGTATAATCACGGCCATCTACAGATAAATGTAGAAGTCTGCTCAGTAAACATGGCCGTAGGAACCGGGGGGGGGGGGGGCGTGCCCCCTCCCTCCCCAATAATTTTGCCGATATATAGATTACTATAGTAAACAAAGATACTATATGCTTGTGCCCCCGCAATAAAAAGTCTGATGACCTTTTTTTTTTTTTTTTTTTTTTTTTTGCTTGTCATCAGGAAATTTTTGGTACACTTGTAATGCCCCCTCAACTATCAACTGAAAATGTATGGCTGTGCCCCCCCCCCCCCCAACCGAATTTGCTTCCTACGGGCCTGATAAATCATCATGTAAAATAGAAATGACACATATTATTGTATTAAAAATTTAAAATACAAGCGTATAAATGCAAAACGTCCACTGACCTTTGTAATTATTTTTTTTTCATTACTTTACACGAAATCGCCTTAACACGGAGATATATGAATGGATGTTACAACCACTTAAATTCATTCTATAAGTCAGAAGTTTCCTCTGATTTGTTATCAAATAAGAATAAACATTTTTATTTTCCAACTAAAAAAAACATCTCTTATACTCCAGCGTTCGGCAACAATTGCAATGTTTTAATGCGATAAAAATCGTGTGATTAAAAACTTAATGTGCATGCATCGTCTTTCTCAGGACAATTTTGGAGAATTTATTTTATTGACTTATTTATTCATTCATTTATTGGTTTACTTATTTATTATTGATTTATTTATTTATTTTGTTTGTTTGCACCTGACATTATAAAACAATAAAATAGTTTCAATGCAAGGAAAAGATCAGAGGCATTCCGAATATATCGTTCATCTTGCGTTCACCGTTCGTTCACCGTTCACTTTGCGTTCGCGTTTGCGCTCCGTTCGCGTTCTGCGTTCGCTCACCGTTCACCGTTCACACATCGTTCACCAAGTTGCGTTCAGCGTTCACACATCGTTCACTCACCGTTCGCTCTGCGTTCGTTCAGCGTTCGTTCACCGTTCGTTCACCGTTCGCTCACCGTTCAAGTGGGAAAGTAGAACGTTTCAGGGACTGTACCAGGAAATTCCGATTCCTTTATTTTTCTGGGATTTCGGCACTTTTCAACTTGGATTTTTGGCCATATCTTGAATATAGAGATGAACAGTTTGTCAGCGCAACTCCTCTAAAACCGCTGCACAGATTTTGGTCAAATTTTGCAGATATTTAGTGCACATTGTGTAGATGTGCTTATTACCAGGAAATTCCGATTCCTTTATTTTTCTGGGATTTCGGCACTTTTCAACTTGGATTTTTGGCCATATCTTGAATATAGAGATGAACAGTTTGTCAGCGCAACTCCTCTTAAACCGCTGCACAGAATTTGGTCAGACTTTGCAGGTATTTAGTACACAGTGTGTAGATGTGTATATTACCAGGAAATTCCGATTCCTTTATTTTTTTGGAATTTTGGCACTCTTCAACTTAGATTTTTGGCCATATCTTGAATACAGAGATGAACAGTTTGTCAGCGCAACTCCTCTTAAACTGCTGCACAGAATTTGGTCAAACTTTGCAGATTTTTAGTGCACAGTGTGTAGATGTGCATATTACCAGGAAATTCCATTTCCATTATTTTTGCCCTAAGAGTTTTGCCTATTATTGAAGAAACTTTCCAGCTAGGTAATTAGGAAATCCACTGGAATTAGCTTTTGTAATGAAATTTTATGTGAAATGTTTTATGACCTTAAAAGATCCCTATTGATTTTGAGATCAAAATATTAATGATTTAACACACACACACACACACACACACACAAAATCTTGGATAGTTCTCAACCCAATCCCCCCCCTCCCCTCAAATTGGTGCTTTGCCTTAAATAATTTCATAAGTACAGTATATAAACAAATTCATATGACTACATCATAATTTTGTTTCCATCAATTATTTAAATGTGTAAATTGTCATGTGTTGGACATGGACTTACACTCATTAACAAATCGAAATCACTGAGGAATTTAAATAACAGTTTGTCAGCATAACTCCTGCATTGAATTTCCTGAAACTTTGTAAGTATTTCAGACATGATGTATAGATTTGTATTTTACCAGGAAATTTTGATTCCATTATTTATCTAGAAACTTCAGCCCAGTTAAATTTGTAACATACAAAGATTTGAATGTCCTTATATGCAAGAAGTTTTGATGTGATGATTTTTTGCATTTAATGCCCCTTTTTGAATTATACTGTGTATTTAAAATGCACTGTGCCATTCTTTACATGTTGCATTGTTGAGTTTTGGGGGAGCGTGGGATATGTTACTTTCTTTCTTTCATTTATCAAGAAATAGGTCACAGTGACCTACTTTTTGAATTTTCAAGCATTCATTTTCAAATTGTTTTAGAGGCATATTTTGAACACTTTGAAGCCTCTGATTATCAAACCTTGTCAGCTGATGCCTCTTAAGGCCTCAAAGTATTTCAACCAAAAAGTAAGTCACAGTGACCTACTTTGGAATTTTAAGGCTATGTTTAAATATTTCAAGTACTATTTGGCATAGAACCATCAAATTTTGCCAGTTTATGCATTTTGAGTTCTTGAAATTTGTCAACTGAAAAGTAGGTCACCATGACCTACTTTCAGGATTTTATGGCTGTATTTTTTTTTCAGATAATTTGGCTCAGAATCATCAAACTTTGTCACTTGATATACATGTATCTTAGGTCCTCGGAGTATGTCAACTGACAAGTAGGTCACAATGACCTTCTTTCTGATTTCATGTCTATGATTTAATATTTCAGATACTAATTAGCTTAGAATCAACAAACTTTGTCAGATGATGCATTTTGGGTCCTCAGAATGTGTCAACTTAAAAATAGGTCATGTTTACCTACTTTAGGAATTTCAAGGCAATATTTAAATATTTCATACAATAAGTGCATAGAATGATCAAACTTTGTCAGTTGATGCATTTTGGGGTCTCCAAGTATGTTTCTAAAAAGTAGATCACTTCGAGCTACTTTTTTGAATTTCATGGCTATATCTGAATATTTAAGATATATTGGATAAGAGTCATCAAAATTTGTCGGTGCATTTTGGGTTCTCAGAGTGCTTTAACCAAAATGTAGGTCACTATGACCTATTTTTGGAATACTTTTGGAATTTTAATGCATTTATATAGAATACTAAAAGGCTTTAAATAGAAATGATAGGTTGTACAATTTATCAGAAGAGTGATTCAAGGCCCTTGGGCTTCTTGTTAATGGACACACTTTCATTTAAAAATCTATAAGCCTGCATATTTTGAGCACTACAGTATGTAGGGTACCACTTCTTGGGACCCAGTGGAGTATCAACCCAAAAATTAGGTCATTGTGACATACTTTTTGTCCCCCACCTTCACTGATAATTTGGGTCTGTCTTTCCATCCTTCTTTCAGTCAGTCTGTCCATCTGTCTGTCTGTCATTCTGTGTTACTTTTTTTTCGATATCTCAAAAAAGCCTTAAGATTGTAATGAAATTGATTCTGAGGTCGAAAGATAAAGGTGAAGGTCATAAATTCATACATTATTATGTCTGTATGTAATATTTTCATTTCCCAGATGATATCTCAAACAGCCTTTTGGCTTTTGCAATGCAATTTTGTATCTCAACTTCCTATTGCCTAAGGAAGACTTCTATTGATTTTTACTTCCAAAGGACAAGGTCAAAAATTCATGTACTCGGTGTGTAACACCTTTGTTTCTGGACAATATCTTAAAAATCCTTTGAGATTTTACATTGAAATATTTTGTCACAACTCCCTATTGCCTAAAGAAGACCCTTTCTGATTTTGAGGTCAAAAGGTCAAAGACCAAGGTCAGAAATTTATATATTGCATACATACATTTCAGGAGATAATTTTAATTCTCTGTAAACCTTTGCAATGAAACCTAAGATCATAAATTTTCCTTAACTTAAAAAGACCCTCATTGACTTTAAGACCAAAAGCTGAAAGGTCAAGGTTAATTCTTTTTCTTTCTCCATCTACAAAGTTTTTCACTTCTCTCACCCTCTTCTTCTTTCTTTTAGCAGGGGACACAAGTCTATGAATTAGTTTGTTTTAATTTTATCATTACTCATTCTTAAAACTTTTTGGCTGGAATACTTAAGATCATCAGATCAAACCAGTGATGCATCTAAGGCTCTATAAATGTTAACCTATGATTGGCTTTATCAAAATTAGCTTAACTCTGCCTCAAAAACCATACATCTTGAGAGTACAGTTTAAAAGATCTTAGTAAGACCACTAATGTCCAATGCACATTTTTCTTCAATATGGTATGATGTAGTATTGTAAAACAAACAAATGACATAAATTGGAATAGAATTTTTAGGAAGCTTATTCAGGTAGTGTAGGTTCAAGTTTGCTCATATCATGATCCCTGGGGTAGGATGGGGCCACAAAAAAGAGCAATCAAAGTTTTACATAGGAATATATAGGATAAATCTATAAAAATCTTCTCAAGAACAACAAAGCAATGATTTGTCTTTTTTTGGAGGCACCTTCAGATAGTGTAGATTCAAGTTTGTTCAAATAATGACCCCAGTGGTAGGGTGGGGCCACATTTTGTGTTATGATAAATGGAATATCTGCTGATGAAGAACAGCAGGGCCACAATGAGTCAGGTGAGCATTGGACTCTTGTTTCTTGCTTGCTGTGCAAATTATTAGAAGAGCTTTACTGTGTTCCTAGGCCTCTTGACCTCTTGGTTTTATTCTAACTTGGAATCTTTAAAAAAAATTGTATGTATTTGAGTATATTTAAAATGGATTTCTCGTTTACATTTTCAGAATATTTTTGCTCACATGACAACAGTGAACATGGATATGTATTTTCTTTGTGGTATGCAGAGCTTTAAGGAACTAGCATGCACAATTGACCATATTGAACTTCCTTTGCGAGTCCGGTATCAATTCTGCATGGCTCCAGTATCAGTAAATTCACCATTACTCAGCACAATGTTTGCCAAGGTAAGTACTGTAAATTGAAAATTGAAGGCGTCTGACTTGGATTTTCGTTGCACAATACTTAAGCAGCATAATAAAATTAAGCCTACTTACACTTTTAAAGCAACTATTTTCACATAATTTATCAAATGAAACAATTTTAAGAAATCACAGGTTAAATTATTGAATACTGATTTTTAGCTCACCTGAGCCAAAGGCTCAAGTAAGCTTTTCTGATCAAAGAGTGGCTGGCGGTGTCCATCTGTCATGTGTTTTCTGTAAACTTTCCACATTTTCGATTTCTTTTCAAGAACCACTGGGCCAATTTCAACCAAACTTGCCCCAAAGCATCCATGGGTGAAGGATTTATGCTTGTTCACAGAAAGTGCTATCTTTCAAGGGGAGATAATTAAGAATTCGTAAAATTTTGTGGCATCTTTTAAAAATCTTCTTCTCAAGAACCACTGTGCAAGAAAAGATCAAGTATTCGAGCTCAAATGTCTATTAAACATTACAAAATAGGAGCACAGCAAACACGGACCTCTAAGACATCGGAGGTGGGATCAGATGCCATGGAGGAGTGAGCATCCCCTGCCAACTGGTCACACCCGCCCTGTGCTCCTTGTCATGATCAGGAAATAACAAAAAAATCTGTCGACAATTCAGTGTGTAAATAATGGCCAAACAATTAGTATGATAAAAGTCAGTCAGCATTTGATTTAATGAAAGATTGTATTTGCTCACAAGGTCATAGAACTTACGAAATGATGACTTTAAATGAGACTGCTGATATTCTTGTTTCATCAACTTGTTTGTCAATAACTTACCTCATTTAAATTGTTCATATGTAGAGCATGCTCTGGCATATCGAATCAACTGAGAGATATAAACTCCATATGCAGGTGATAAGGGTATATTGCTGCATAAGTAAGGGAAGTTGATGATTGGAAAGTTAAAGTCATCACATTTATCATAAAGCTTTGTTGTTAGAATATGAAACAGATGTGTCAGACACTGTGGTATCTCAAGCTCACTGGGATATATTGTGTCGACATAAGAATGGAAATAACCATTGTTAATTGACAATATGTCGTCGATATATCTAAATGTCGAGTTGAAGGCTACAGCAAGTGTTTTCTTCTTTTCACGCAAAAAAGATTTTGAACAAATTCTTCTTCATGTGAATACAAAAATAGGTCTGCTAATAACGGGGTGCAATTGGCACCCATGGGAATTCCAATAAATTGTTGGAAGACCTGGTCTCGAAAAACCACATAGATATTGTCAATCAGAAACTCGAGCATCTTTTAATGTCAACTTCATAGTACTTGTGTGTACAATCAGATTGTTTTTTAACAAAGTAATTTTGCAAATGACCAATGACAAGGTAAGTAAATTAACGAGTTCCAATGTTCCAAAAGTTCCTTGGAATTTTTTAGTATCCACATCTGATTTACACCACTTCTCAAATATATTGTTGCACAGTACTCTTGAAGTTTCTCCTTCACTACTGTTAATATCTTAGTGAGGAGTAAAGAAAGAGGCTTGGTAGAACATTTACTGGAACCCGGTATGTATCTTTGAAAGGATTTTTATGAAGTTTCAGAATCCAATATAGATATGGTAATTCAAATTCGTTTTGGTTTCTGGGAATATTAAAAATGTTCAAAACTGACATATGATTTTGAAGAATTTCCTCCTTAAAAAGGGAGCTATGGGTGTAAGTTGGATTACCACTTGTAGAATTAAATCCTAGTTCCTCTAATATACAATTTATATAATGGACCTTACAAACAAAGACAATGTTGTTACCTGCTTTCAGCAGGGACCAGTACGTACTGATCGTGTAGTCTATCTAATTCTTTTTTCACTTCTGAATTATTGAATACAGAAGGACAGATGGTTTTCATACGGCCCCTCAATCGTTTGATGCGAGATTTTAACATATATCTGATACATTTAATCCATTCTGACAAAGTGTCAAGGTTTTTTTTTTTACATGTCTGACCCAATGCCTAGCGTAATCCTCTACAGAATCCATAATATGTATGAAATTACGACGGGTTCCCTATATTTAGGACCTTTTAAAGTTAGTGATCTAAGATCCTCATTATTAACTATATTTACGTCACCAGTAATAACGTGTCCAGAAGGACTATAGTTATAGGGTGAAGAAGAACATGAACACAAAGGAGGATTATGTTTCAGATATTAAATATCAGGGCCTGTAAAGTTTTCTTGTAATTAAAAAGTTTGGAAGCAACAGTCAATGTATATTTGTATGTAGTAACAAATCAAAAGAGACATTGTGTATTAAAGGTTTATTGTAAGATGCCCATGACTATGTTTACATCTCTGTGTATGGTTGAAAAGTCCCATCACATTGTTACACATTCCCAACACTATCGACATTGTCATTGCATCCATAGGGAAAGGTCGTCCCTATTTTCTTAATCCAAAATTCTTCTTGTTGTCTATGGAAAGGTGTACTCACTGATGGACTGTTTGTATGATCATGGTAAATCTTTTCTATAATTCTAACTTTCATTAACAAAATTGAATGATCAGGTAAATTAAAGTGCCTGTAGAGAAGCTGCTGGCCCCTGTTGTTAATTTGAAATCTGTGACCCCATATTCTTTTATGAAGTGAACCCTTGGTTTCACCAACATAAATAACTACACAAAGATTACATTCTGTTCCGTAGACAACATTAGAAGATTTGCAGTTCAGATTTTCCCAAGTTTTGGTTTAGAGGCTCTGTCCAGTAAGACTACTAGTGAAAAAAGTGTTAGTTATCAAAATGTCACAGGTTTTACAGTTTTTCACAGAACATTTTGAAATAGAAGACATGGGATCGGATAAGAAATCTTTAAATATGTATATAAAAACTTTACATTCTTTCAAATTTTTGTATGAACTATCAGTTTTACACCAAAACTGGAATCCGAAGACTGCACATATGACATATGTTTAATATCCCTGAGGATTATCGAGGGGCAGTGGATAAACTCTTTGAGTCTGTGTCCCTTATAGACTCAAAAGACTGACGCCTTTTTAAACTGTGTGCACGTCTGCCAGTATCATATCAAACTTATGTGAAAGCTTCATTACATACTCTAGATTCAAGTTTGTTCATGTAACCTTGGGGGTAGGGCAGGGCCACATGAGGGGGTCGAAGTTTTACACAGGAATATATAGGAAATGCCTTTCAAAATCTCCTCGAGAACAGCAAAGTCATGATTAGTCATGATTCATATGACACTATGAATAATAGTGTCATAGTGAGCACAATGGTAAATCCAAGTTTTCATAGTTATCACTATAGTAAATCAAAGTGTCAAAGTTATCACAATAGAACTAAAGTTTACTTTAATAGTAAAATAATAGTATTTTTTTTTGTAAGGGTCAACACCCGGTACTTATCTATCAATAGAAATCTAAAGGGAGAAACACTGTTCAAGTAGTACCTTACCTAGTCCCTGTCTCTAGATAAGAGAAAATTTAAGTATTGTGTGATTTACCCTCAGACAGAGCAGTCTTAATAATCATTCCAATCGTTAACTCGGGGGTCAATGTTTTACATAAGAATATATAGGAATCATCTTGAAAAGTCTTCTGCTCAAGAACAGCAAAGCCACGATTAGTCATATTATTATGGAAGCATCCTCAGGTACTGTAGATTTAAATGTGTTCAAATTTAGGGTGGGGCCACAATGAATGATCAGAGTTTTACATAGGAAAAAAATCTTTAAAATTCTTCTGCTCATGAACAGCAAAGCCATGATTAGTAAAATTGATATGGAAATATCCTAAGGTAGTGTAAATTTAAGTTTGAAATTCAATTAAAAATTTAGCGGCTTACTGCAAAACCCCTAAAATATATGTAAGCCAAAGTTAGCACCCCGCTAAAAATACCCGCTATATGGTGTCATCCTTTACATTTGTGCCTCTATATAATCAGCTATTTTTTAAACACTTATGTCACCAGGTCTTTTGTAGGATAACAATCTGACACTGGATTCGGCACAAACTATATTTATTCACTGTGCTTAGAACAAAAAACCTACAAAGCGTAAATTAAACACACTCTCACAGCACAATACACACAAGACAAATACTTTACATTTAACATCAGACATTAACAACACATATATGATTGTTTGCTGTCGGGATTAATTAATAAAAGTAAATTATAAAATACATTTATATAATAATTATAATAAAGGTAAACAGAAAGCTTACCAGGAATCCAGTTAAATTAACTCCAAGTAATACTTTAAAGAATACTAATATGTTTCAAATACAGTCTTCTACCGTAAAGGCAAAAAGCGTGGGAGTCGAGAATTGGTGGGTACTGTGCGTATATACTAGGTGCAGAAATTAAAACATGCATATTAATAAGATAAAAACGTCGTTTATTGGTCAGCAGTAAGGTCACATTAGGTCACCTAATCGGAAACAAATAAACAATGTCACATGATCTCCCAATACATTCACACTAGACACATGACACAAACAAATGCAGCAAACACGTTTGATTGGCAATGCGCGCCAATTTTATGTACAAATTAAAACATAACATCTGTGACATTCTCCCCTGCTTGGGAAAATGGCTCCTGACATTTTATAAATATCAGATTAACGGTAATAAATCACAAAAATATACTGATTCCTATATACAAATGAATCGTCATAAAAACCAAAATGAAGACTATCATTTCATGTGACATTCTCCCCTGAACAATGGAAAAGTTACTCACACAAAATAGACCACTGGATTAATCTGATGTGAAACCCACTCGCCATACTTGTCTGGGGGTCTTACCTGTCTGGTTGATCTACACGGGTGTACAATGACAGCTGGACTTTTTACAAAGGAACTAGTATTACTAAATGTTGCATTACAATTCAAAAATGAATTACCTGTAAATGCAGCACTGAGATCAGATGTAGACATAGTGTCCTGAAAATCATGAGAACCCTTTATTGTACTAGGCATTTTCAAACGAATAATGCCAGGCCT